CCTTAGAGATCAATCAAATCTTATCCTCTCACAGACAAAACCGTAGGGACTGAAGCATGGTCACAGAGTTCTGTTCTTCCAGAAATGTTTCACATTTTATCATCTCTTACACTTTACTATCCCCAATACTAATATCTGATGAGGCATAAAAGTTGTATGCGTCACATCATAAGATCATCATTCCGGCCACAGCTTCTATTTTAGGCTTGGTGACTGACGCCTGGTTCATTTTTGGGTCTCTGACTTAACGTCCTTGAGCCTTAGCTTCCCCGTTAGGAATGGAATTCCTAGTGCTCAAATCTCATACTGAAGCTTAATCGACATTTACAAAGTGGAGGGCCAACTGGAAAATCATAGCCACAAAAGCTAACCTAAGAACCGTGCAGCTAATTAAATCTCCAAATTAGCCTTGCTACTGACAAAGATGACTAGTGCAACATCAAATCCAAAAGTACAAAGGCAGCAACTTCGAATAAGCTATGAAGTGCCCTGAAAGTAAATTTCTTCTTCAGGGTAAAGTCACAATATAAATAGATGCCATTTTCATGTATTTTTAGATTAACTACAACATGCGAATGGAAAATAAAGAACTGGCAAAGAAAACAGAGTTGGGTGTCTGTGGTTCATGGCCACCAAGGGCTTATCAATGACTCCGTGAGTAAATGGATACAGGATCACCTGGCCCTAAAACCAGGACCCACGGCTGTTGGCATCCAGTTGTTGCTATCTTTGGCACCTCCATAGAAGGGCAACAATCAGCAGGGCTGGTTACTAAATTCTGCATCACACTAGCTCAGCCCTCCTCCCTGACCCTGGTGTGCAAATCTGCTCATTGAGATTGACCAAAGCAGTATCCTTTTAACGGAGCCCTTTCTGAAACCTTGCACTGAAACATGTAAGTAATTTCATTTTCCTCCAGCTTAGATCAATGTTCACAGCTGATTCTTTTCATCATTTAAGGACTCACTACGTACAAATAAATATTCTGACGAAATAGCTGTCTATGAAAAATGGCTTTGCTCTTTATTTTTTTCCCATAAGTGCTCAGTATCAAAGCTCAGAAATTACACACCTGTATTGCTTGCCACAGAATCATTATTTTTATAATAGGGCTTAATTCAAAGCTAATAGGAAGCTTTATTGAGTGAGTCATGGTAATTTGTTCTTTAATTCCATTTCAGAGTCAGTGCCTCTTCACATTCAGGAATTAATTTTTTAAGTCAAGTCTAAATCATTTCTATCAAAAGTTAAAAGCACAGAGCACAAGCCACAAAAAACATCCCAACCTCAAGGATCATAATTTAGGGTCGGCAGAGTAATAGCATGCAAATTACTTACAAAAATGTGAGCTTTGACTGCTAGGTTGCCAGGAAAAAAAAAAAAAAAAGAACCAACTATTCAGAAGCAACTGCAATAAAACTTTCTACAAATTCTGTGGTTCTTTCTTTGCCTTCCTTCGGCGCACAGGTGCTCCTACAGGGCCCAGAAACCCCAGCATGACGTCGGTCTATATTTAGTGTTAATTTAGCCAAGCAACATAAGATCCCAAATACTAACTTTTTTCAAAATGTCTGAGGTTTTTCATGAATATATTCCTGAAACTATGCTTTAAAAAGAAAAAGCCACCCTGCCTTGATTCAATTGGTAACTGATGAGGTTCTTATTGGACCCAAGTTAATGTCCTTATTTGGCTCCTGTGTCTGTGTAACGGACACATTTCTAGCGCTCCGGCCCCGCTATGCTCCCATATATGAATATGCAGTAGCGGACTGGAGCTGCCATTCTGACAACTAACTTGCACAGGACTCCGGGCCAACCAGACGACGGCAATCAGCAAGGACAGAGTAAGGGTGTGGTACTGACTAGGGGGATGGCGCCTCGGAGAGCTCCTAGGGCTTCCAGTAGCTACGAAACAGGATTGTGAGCGGGAGATTGTATACAGGCTTCAGACCCACTGCAGGCGAGGGAAGCACTTGGTCTCATCCACCTCCCTCTCTACTTGAAGGCTTTATTTACTCTGTGGGTTTTGAGGCATCCTCCTTTCTCAGGAATGTCAGGCTCTCTCTTGTGTGGTTCCCTCACACACATGCCAAGGAGCTTCTGCCCTCTGCTGTACATAAAAGGAGCTCCTGTGAGTCCCATTTGCTGGCCACAGGGACAGGCTATCCCCGCAGGACGCTGAGGGCTAGGTAGTAAACCGATACGCAGTCCTTCCGAATCCCACCTTTCACTGCCACTTCTAGATGGACATGATTCGTCCTTGAAACATTTTGTACCTCATTGAGAAAATGTTTGCTTCACAGAACTTCGTTTACATTTATATTCAGTATGGACCTCATCCTACTTTTAGGAGAAAGGAATGCCTTTCTCTTAGGCTTCATCTGTACCAGCGGACCAATTCATGGAGGAAGACGATATAACTAGTAACTGTCTTCTCAGAGGTATATTGTACATTAAAAAGCTATGCCAAATTCCATGAAAAATGAAAATGTTTGTTTGCTGCTAATTATCATCCTGTTTTTGAAATAATCTCCCAACTACCTGTCTTAAACCATCAGACTTTTTTTTTTACATTTTTTTTATTCTTATGTTAATCCCCATACATTACATCATTAGTTTTAGATGCAGTGTTCCATGATTCATTGTTTGTGC